ATCCTTTCTGTGTTAATTTCTGTGAATGTTGTAAGCTTTTATAATCTATTCTAACAGAGGGTGGGACTATTTTAGAGCATGCACATGTAACACATACATTTAAATGGAAGATGAGAGACAAAAGGGCAAGCAAGAAAAAGTCTTCTCATTACACTTTTTTGAGTACATACTATGGTTAATTTTAGTTATAAGGATGACTGGTTAATAATTTGGGAATTCAAGTAGAAATCCTGGGCTGAAACTTGTTTGTGTTCCAACTCCTCCTCTCACAGACTGTGTTCCATGAGGAGTGTTCTCACAAGCAAGTATCTGCCCTGCATCCATGTCTGTGTGTATGAATGTCCAAATATTTCATAAAGAACTCAAAAGTCTACGATCTTGGAGGTGTTGGTAAAGATGATGATAAAGGCCAGAGTAGGAAAGTAACATTTGGTTAGGAGTCACGTTGGGTAAGATGTTGGTGCCCATCCTATTTAATCACTCACTTTCTGTGAAATGCTGGTCAAGGATTTAGGGGACTCATTGACACTGTTACACTATACAAAGCCCTGAGGCATTTAACATCTATAACTCTAGTATGTTACTATAAATGGGTATTAAATAGTTCCTACGAATATGGAATAATAATACTTTCTATTTAAAAAGGTAAAAAGGAATTCAGAAAGCATTTCCTTTTGAAGGAACAAAAAGGACACTAATTCCAAGAATAGCCGTGACATTATGTTCGTAAGAAAAGATCGTCAGGAAGTAGGGATGACCCGCCGCGCTGTGGTGGTGCTGAGAGCAGATATGAAGGGGTGGCTTGGCGATCTTGGCCCTTCCTGCTTCTATGCTGGGAAAAACAGGCCCAGCAGAGAAAAATTATGCAGAGTAGCAGCTTGGGACAGAATACACCAGTGAGGGCTCTCTCTTTCTGTCCCTTCATTTAAAATCCTCCTTTGAGGTACACTTAGGTACTCAACTTGGGGGCCAATGAACACTTCTTGAAAATGGAGACTGTTCATGGATGCTAAAGAATGAACAGGCTGAAACCATTGATTAATTTTGTCTGTAATATTAAAATGACCAAGACGATATAGACTCTCAGTCTAGGACCTTGAGATGCTAATGGGGAATCAAAAGATGTAGCGAGATCCTGGCTCACATCATTTTCTGCTCTTTGTATATTTGTATTAAATCATCTCTTCATTTTTTTCTACACAATTTAGAACATGTGTATGTATACATATATACACACACTTTGAACTTATATATTCATGTTTTTAAATTACGATTAGAGAAATTTTTTTAAATGTAAGTATGTACCCATCACCCAGCCTTGAAAGTTACAGACACATGCCCAGTCTTGGAAAAAATCCCAGATATTTCATCTGCAAATATTTCAGTTTGTTTGATCCACAATATCTCTATATGATATCCAGAATGATATCTTTTAAATATGAAAAAATGATTTGTTATTGATGCTTACTTGAAATCCTTCAATGACTTGTCTTGGCACTTCAGATAAAGGTTAAACGCCTTTACGCGGCCTCATCTCCTATTACCCCACACTACCACAGTTACTCAAATGGACTTCTTTCTCAAGATCTTTGCATACTTGTAAGTCTAACTTCTCTGCAGCCTTTGAGGTCAGCTTAAATGTCATCAAGGGAGGATGGCCTCGATTAGTTTGTTACATATTCTCAAAGCACCTTAGATTTTTTTCTTATACAAATAAACTACATATATACTTACAATTTGATAACTTCTTTAACATTTGTCTCCCCACCCCAACTGTAAATTCCAAGAGGGCATAGATGTCTGTCCTTGCTCATCTCTGCACCCCCAGCCCCTTGCGTAGCACCTGAACATTGCAGACCTGTGGCTGCTATGCAATAAGTCTGTTAAATAGAAAGATCAATATCTATTTAGCTATTTATATTCCACATAAGTCTTTGGCTTAGAGAGCTCTGGAAAAAAACAAATATAATTCTCTACAGAATAACATAGCCTCGTGGACAATTAAGCACTTAATAATCTTGATGATATTGGTGAATTAATTGTTCAAGGAGAGGATGAAGATCATGACACCTCTCAGTGTTTTGTGAAATTACTACTCATAACTTAATACTAGTACCTTATTCCTGTATAGTGCAGGCCACTTTGAAAATGCTTTCATGTGCACTACCTTACTTGAAGTGGGTATTGCAGGTGTTATCACTGCCTTACAAAGATAAAGACTAAAAAAGTCATGGCATAAGCAGAACGAGAACTCTCGACTCAAACTAATGTGTGCTCTTTCCATTCCACCATGTGAAGCCAGTTCACCTTTCTGGGCCTCAGCTTCATCAACCAGGGATATGAACAAAATGTTTTAAGGATCTGTCATCTCTGCAAATCTTTGTGTTTCTAATAGCCATCAAGCTCTATTAAATTAAGGGTAAAGATAAGTGATTACAACCCAAATCTTAGCAAGCTGACCTCCTGATAGTATTTCAGACTCTAAAAGGCACCACCCAATGGGGTCAGCATTAGAAACTCTTGAAGTCACCAAGCTCCCAGAATCATAGGTGGTCACAGAACCCTGGAGGAAAAAAAGCCTGAAGTCTATATTTTTAAAGAAAAGCTATCTCCTTTACCTTGATTTGGAATTGTACAACAAAACGAATGTTTGTTCAGAATCCTTAAGAATATCTCAACTTACCTAACCCCCAGCACACATACATTCTGCAAGCCCTCAGTTATCTGGCCTAGGACCATTTGTTCTGACCTAGCTAGCACTACTTAAAAGTTACCGCATGTGTCAGTTTCTGGGTAAATCACGTTGTAAAACCATTGGCCTATTTCACCACGAGTAAAACTAGGAGATACACAGCACATTTAGATGTTTACACAACCTGAAGTCATTCCTTCCTAACCTTTTCATGGCATCCTCTGCCATTACCACCCCTTCAACACTGGTGTGCCCCAGGTCCCATCCTCTGTCCTCCTCTTCACCCTCTCCCCTAGTCAATATCTGCTCCTATGTTCTCACTACCATGCCATAGTGATCATCTCCAACCTCTCTCCTGAGTTCCAGATCCACGTGATCAACTGCAGGGTATATACCACTGTCTTCCACACCCCTCAAAGTTCACATGGTCCTAAACTCATCTTTTATTGCCTCCATACGACACTCCAACAGCACAGAACTAGTAACTGCAGTTCTTTGAACATGTACACTGCTTCCTGCCTCTGAGGCTGTGTACAAGTTATTTCCTCTGCCTAGAATACTCTTTGCCTCCCTGTCAACCCTATTGAATCCTTATTTGCTCAATATCCAGCTTAAATGCCACTTTCTCTGTCTCGTCCTTATGTCGTCTTCCCTGTCCTTGCCTCCAGAGAGAGTTCTGATCACTTCTCCTTGGCAGCAAGCTAAGTATTTGTGTACATGCTCTCATTCCTACTAGACTGAGCTGCTTAAGAGGCCAAGTCTTTTCATCTTTGCATTCTCAGCACAAGCCAAGCAAAAGGAAGTCACCTGACAAGTAGTTGCCAAATTGAATTGAATAGGGATTCTAATTTACTAATACATTAGTTTCTTTTTCCAGGGTCACAGACACAGGTCAATAGAATAATTATTTCTGGAATTAGGGCATTATTCAAGTATACAGTCTTTAACACTATAACAGTATCATAAACATTATTAAAAGTTCAATAGGTGACAGATTCATGCTATGAAGGTAAGATCACAGCATCCTAGTAGCTTCCTCCAGTGGCTACTGTGTCTGGTACAATAGGAAATAATCACATCAGGGAGTAATCTGGGTGCTACAAATATGGGGCTCTAAGGTTAAAAGACACTTATTAATGGGAAGTAGAAGAAAAATGGGGGATGGCTAGATGTGGTCTAGCTCAGAACCCTGAACTGGGAGGCAGGAAAATCTGGATTCTGATCCCAGGTTTTTGTTTTGTTTTGTTTTTAGTTGCTAAAGGACAAATGTATGATTCCACTTATATGAGGTACCTAGAGTAGCCAAATTCATAGAGACAAAAAGCAAAATGGTGATTGCTGGGGATGGGGGAGTTTATCGGGTATGGGGTTTGTTTTGAAAGATGAAAAAAATCCTGGAACTAGATGGTGGTGGTGGTACAATCATGTGAATATACTTAATGTACATTTAAAAACCATTAAGATGGTAAATTTTATGCCAGGCCTGGAGTTCCCGTATGAGGAAATGCAGCTGCTCCACAGCCCTCTTATGAAACTCCCAGTACCATTAACTCCTTTCAGAAATGAACCACCTCTCTGAAGAACTGACTTTGTATTCATCTTTACTCCCCCATGCATGTAATAGATGAGAATATGTGATATTTAAACTCAGCTAATGTGGTTACAGAACTGACCCAAATTACATGTGCTTTCTTATTTTCAACATAAAGCCCTCAAATTCATGTTGCTTCCTCACATCAAAATAAAGTTTCCAGCACAGTGCCATAAATGCATGCAAAAAACAAAACAAAAAACTTTCTCAACTTATGTTACCTCACTGCACCTGAATCTTGGGCTCAGCACCTGGCTGGCATAAGGGCGACATGGAAGCAAAAGAGATCTGCAGAGGTTTGGAAACTCTTCTTTCTCATCTACCCACACGAGGGAAAGGCCCTTCGTCCTGCTCTTTGGACATTGCCGACAGAAACAATAGCGCAACACACTGGAGTGGCATCCGCGTGACCCCACGCCCTGGAGTGCCCTGACAGTGGAACATCACTTCACTATACTAAAGCCACAAGTGCTAGAAATACTTGATAGTTGGCAAGCAACACTATCAACTACTATCACAGCTGGCTGGAAAATAAACAGCCTGAGAGAACTTTGGTTCTTTGATTCTACAGATTAAAACACATCTTTCAGTTAAAGCTGGTAGCTTACTGGTGGGAGATATTTAAAAAAAAAAAAAAAAAAAAAAAAACACATGAGAGGCACATACAGCAAGCTGGTCTGCAGTAGGTTGAAAGCTGGCCAGGGAAGCCAAACTTACAGATTTCAGGATCCCTGTGGCATCTTCATGGAGCCATGTAGGGTAGACGACTTCATCGTTCAGTATGGCCTCAAAGAGGTCATCTTCGTTCTCTGCCTCGAAGGGCGCGTGACCACAGAGCATCTCATAGAGCAACACGCCCATTGCCCACCAATCTACTGCAGGTCCATAGAGCATTTCCTGGAGGATCTGTGCAAAGAGGGATAGGTGAGAAGTGCTTCGTGTATCTGATTAACAAACGAGTCCTTAATGATTAGGGAAAATGATGGATTAAGACTATCAAAGAAAAAAAAAATAGAGCTTCCGGTGCTGGCATGCGTGTTTCATTCTATCTCTAGAGAACGGCCTGTTTTCCCTGTGGTCAACTCAGAGGCCTTCTCATCCAGGGGATCAAACATTTATGGCCTGCTTACGCCATGGTATATGGCATGTGTAGATCAAAACAGAAAGGGTTTTGAAACTACATCTATGTAAAAGAAGAGGAGATTGGGCTCACTCACATGTATGGGAAAGATTCAAGAGCTTTTCTTTACTTCTGCTAAATGGGGCTGGGATCAAAGCACTGAGTAGAGACAAGGAAGAAAATAAACAGCTGTGAGTGGAGCACATTTTGTCCTCATTCAAATTTGAAGCCTAAAGCAACTGCAAAGTTTACAAAAAAATTTTTTTGACTTTTAGAAAAACTGAGGACATTTTCGGCCATCATTCAGCCAATGAGCCATAAAGGAGTCTGGAGGTGTCAGCTTTCAACGCCGCCGCCCACAAAGCCACAGCACACAAAGGCAGCCTGTGGCATTTCTGATCCGGGTTACTTCAGAGCACAGATTTCCAGAGGAGCTCAAGCAGCTGCACTCACCTCTGGAGCAATATAGTCCGGTGTGCCACAGAAAGTCGCCGTGGTGACTCCATTACAGATCCCCTCTTTGCACATTCCGAAGTCTGCCAGTTTACAGTGACCCTCGTGGTCCAACAGTACATTGTCCAGTTTCAGGTCTCTGAAAGAAACAAGTTGCAGCATGTGGTAGGGAAGCCAGGCCCCAAAGCATCCACCTGAACCAGCTGGCTCATGAGATGGGTGATCGGACTACAGAGTGTTCATGCACATACACACTTCAAAAAGAACAAACTTCTTTGAATTTTCTAGATAAAAAATTTAGATCAAATCTCAAAATTTGCCTCATGGTTCCTAGATGCTGGCTCCTTATGAATGGGCTAACCACATATAAAAGTAGGCTGTCTTTTAGAAACTGAGGGCAGAATGTGACTTTTCCAGGCTTCCCACTTACCTTGTACCCATAAGATATCCACCATCCTCCACTCTGGTATTTATCTCTGCCCACTAGAGTTCACTTAGTGACCATTCATGGACCAAGTGACCATGGGACTGTGATAAGCATCAGGAGTACAGATCTTTATCCCTAAGAATCCACGGCATAATGAGGAGTTCGATATTTGCTAAACTATATGCCCATAAAGGAGGGATCAGGTTGATCTGGTTTACTACCGTACCTAGCATAACGCACTCAATAAGTACTTGTTCAATATACATATAGATGTATGCATGTGTGTGTATATATGTGAGAGTGCGGGAGAAGGAGAGGAAGAGAGACCGAGAGAACCAACTGTTATACAACACAAGTGGTATGATGGAAGCATGAACCAAGTACTGCAGGTAAAACACACGAGGGAACAATTAATTCCTTCCAGTGAGAGGAGAGTGTGACAGTTCCAAATTAGCAGTAGAAACTGGGCTGGGTCTTAAAGCATGAGTCAGAGTCTACCAGACAGACAGGGAAGGAGTGTAAGAAAGTCAGCATGGGCAGATGGATGGGGCTGGGGCAGGGAGGCGGGCACCGAGTTGTGATGTGCCAGTGGGCTCAGGAGCCCCGTGTGATGTAGTGAGGCTGGAGAGATAGCAAGGGAATGCTGGAGCCATCAGATGTTAGGAAAGTTAGGTCCAAATTATGAAGAGCCTTGAATGCCACGCTAAGGAATTTTGATATTTAAATATTAGGCCAAAGGGATCCACTGAAGCTCTCTGATTAAGTAATGGGTTCCCAGCTGAACAGAAAAGATCAATTCGAGGCAGCTGAAACAGTTCAGGGAAGAGATGTTAAGACCTGAACCAGGACAGTGACAAAGGAAATGGAAAGTGAGGGGTCAGTCGACAGTGCTTTAGTGAAAACAATTAGTGACAGGGTTTGACAAACACTTGGAGGTAGATGGGGAGAGGAAGCGGAAATGATGACTCCTGTGTTTCTATCTTAGATTCAGCAGGTTAGTGGGGACATTAATAACCAGGAAAAGGAAAAACAGGAGTAAGAACAGGATTTGCTGTGCCCCAGATACACGGGAGCCTCAGGAGGCCTTAGTGCATTTGGTGAGCTCAGGACAAAGGCACTTTCTACCTTTTCTCCAACATGCAGAAGAATACACTTAGAGAAATGAATTTCCAGCAGCAGAACTGTTTGGTAAAGGCCCTCAATGCAGACAGGAACACGGTTGGGTACTGATAAAACTGCAAATAAAAGGCAGTATTGTCCTAAAATACTTCCTCCCAACATGGCTTCTAGCTCCATGCACATCCAAGCACCATTACCGAGGGAGGCCCATCACCATGGCAGGCTGGAAAAGGGTCCTACACACTGACACAATTACCAGCCTCCAGGCTCAGCCTGGAGAGTATGAGAGAAGCAGTCTGGCCTACTGGTGACACTTTTATACTTTGCTTTTCTAAGGAACAATGTGCTCAGGGGCAAGCTGTATGGGCTTATCAATGAGGAGGTGGCTGTAGAGCCAACAGGGGATGCTAAGTGACTTTCCTGATCTGGAGATTTGTAGTCAACTGCCAGCAGCTGAGGCTGCCATGGCCTCTTGGGGACATGCTGCTGGAAATGAAGGTGTCTCTTCACTGTGGCACCTACACAGTGGGCACTCATGGTTCTGTTCTCCTGTCCCTGCTCTGTTGGTCTGCTTGGCCCATGGGAAAAGGCTGGTCCCTATCCAGCCTAGGATCACATTTCAGCGGGGAGGAGAAAGGTGATGACAGAACTTGTGTGACTGCTTTCTACACTGTGCCCTGTGAGGTAGATACTGCCTGACCATGCAAGTCTCACAGAGCAAGGTCACTGTAAGACACTCGGGAATGAAAACAAAGTCCTATTTTCCAGGAATCCCTGATAAGCGAGGTTAAAGCAGCAGAGTTTTCTTGGCGTGGATCAACAGGAACACAGACCAGAACCCTCTCCCTCCTCTGCTCCTGGCACCAGTCTCCCTGGTTGTGCAGGATGTCAGGCAAAGGGGTGCCAGGCACCTGTGTGCCCGGCCTTCTCTGCCTCTAAACCAAGCCTGGTCTCAGCCCCCCGGATCAGCCTCCTGCATCCTTCTCCACGTGAATCCTGCTTGCCACACAAGTGCTTTTAGGGGGCTATGATCTGTGGAGACTCTCTCTTTCCCCTGTCACACAAAACAAGCAAGACTCGTTTAACCCACATGAAGGTAGAATCACAAGAGCACAGGGGGGCCAGGGAAAGGGGAGCATGTCCATGTGCGGGAGGCCACTGCCAGTTCTTCCATAAGTGCTTTCAGACTCAAGGCTCTATTAGCACCTGCATGTCTGGCTCCTCTGGGACTGAGGGCTCACATTAGAGGTTGATGGCCAATGTTAGAGATTATAGTCTGTGGCCCCAGGAGAGAACAGGGCTGTGTGGGGGCGGGGGGTCTGAGCCTGGGCTAGCTTTTTCAGCACCACATTCTAGACCAGCAGTCCTGCACCCAGAGCACTCTCGCACTGCCAAACAAGGTTACTGAGTTTCTGAATTCTCCTGAAGCCGTTATGCCTGCTAAGCGCTTGCAAAGGATATTCTTGGGTAACAGAAACAAGTGCTAACAGAAACCCACAATGGTCTAAAGAGTTGACCTGTGATTGCTCAAGAGAGCTTATGACTAACATCCCAGGTAAGACGTTTGATCGCTTATTACTCAGCTGCTGTCATGGGTAGCAGGAATTGTTCAGGGAGAGAAAAGTGCTTTGCAATCGGTTTTATCAGCCGCCCATTACAATTCCCCCTGCACTGAGAAGTCTGCACAGCCTCACTGCTCAGGAGACAGAACTGAGCAGCACAAGGGATGCAACTCACCCTGAGCATAGAATGCTCGAGGGCACAGAGGCAGGTTATACACCTCAATCCTGACTTTTCAGTCTTATTTTAGGTGTTCTCAGAACTGTGTGAGCCCCAAGAGAAATGTTGCTGCTAGTGTCATACCAGGAACGATCTAATAGGACAAAACCCTCAAATTGGGATCCCAAAGGGGTTCGATGAAGAACATAATACAATCCCTGGCTATCAGTTCTATCCTCAGCCCAAATATCTTATACCTCTACCGTGAGGCCTGTCCTGATGTCCCCAAATAGTCAACTATGTTCCTAGAGTGCTCAGTTCATATCTCTACAACAGCACTGTATTCCAGAAGGCTCTTGTCTGTGCACCTGTCTCTCCACTCAGCTGGGGCTAAGCCTTATTTCTCCCTAGCTCCAGCTTGGTCTTGGCAGAAGATGTGACCAAAGAAAGAAACAAGCATTTCACCGAGCTGCCCTGGCCAACTCAGAGGCTGTCTTATATTTAGGAGAAGGAAGGAAGTTCCATAAACCTCACTAGGACCCTTGTTCCAAATTAAACTTATAAAAAGCCATGTGCTTTGCCCCTGAGAGATGGATTCCAGAAGGAAAAGAAGAATCCTGAAATAGAAGTTCAAATTCTTTGCTTTAGAGAAGCTGGAGAGGGAAATTGCTTTAGAAGAGGCAATTGGAAAGCAGAGAGGACTCAAGCATTCTTTTGCAACCAGATAGAAAAGAAGAACATTGAGAGGGTTACAGACCCATTTATAGCCATGGTCAGCTTCCATTCTAAGGATAAAGCATTATTTTCATTAAAAAAAAAAAAAGCTAAAGCAAGAAAAATCACCCTATGACTCTTGAATTTGAAATATTCAGAGGTCAGTTTTTGGCTTTGGGGGTTCTCAGCCTCCTGTGCTGACATATAAGTCAGAAGCCAAACTTAACAAGGCTACACAATGAGGTTTACAAGTTCATACAGGGTAGAGGCTCAGATTCTAAAATGCCAAATACACAATTATAGGCTCATTATTCATTAGCTCATTGAGCACCAGTATTTAATAGCTACGCCTCTTGTCATGCAAGCATAGAAAGGTTGAAAGAGTTATTTTATCCTCCCTGGTTGCCTGAAAGGTTCATTGTTGTTGCTGGGTAATCAGCGTTACTTAAAATGCCCACAGTGGTTTCAGAGAGGATTCCCAAGTGGTGGAAGACAAAGGAAATCTAGAAATTGTATTTATTTTGTTTCCACCTTGAGCTATTCCAAGTCGTAAAACAAAATGACATGAGTCTTACTGCTCAGATCACTGGACTCAGCGACTCTTCCAAAAGAAATAAAGGAAACAAGTTGAGAGCTGGCTCCTTGAACAAGAATAAATCTAAGAAGCTATTCGGTAACTATTTTTAATGTATTTCATAAACTTTTTATCGTGGAAAATTTCAAACATATACAAAAGTATAGAGAATAAGAACTTCCATAGCGAGTCTTAGCAGCTGTCAATGCATGCCTAATCCTGCTTCATCTACCCATTTACTCCCTTCCTGGGCCATCTTTCTCGGATTTTGAAGCATATTTAAGATATAAAATCATTTCATCTGTAACTATTTCAATACCTGAATTTAAGACAGCAATTCTTTAATAAAGTACAACATTGATATTAGTTATCATAAAACATACAGTCAATATACTATTGTAAGTATACTGTTCACTCATTTGCGTGTGTGTGTGTCCAGAGAACCTGAGAAAAACTTCTGCAGATAATAAGAATAGTGTCATTAGTAACTAACAGTCAATGATTGTTCACCAAATGCTAATAAGTGCTTTATACTTATCTATGCCAAAACCATTTAGTTAGTCAAGGGTAAATCTAGGATTCGAAC